ACTCTTTCCTGCCTAGGCAGAGGGGTCAGACTTGATGATCTGTTGAGATCCCTTCCGACCCTAGCATCTATGAATCTATGTGCCTCAGGGGAGGCGAAGGTGCAGAGTTGGGTGCAGAGAGGCACCTGAAGGGCTGCATCTGAGTGATTGAGCCAATTGAGGCCCTGTGAGTAGGGGGCATATGTTGAGGCCCTGTTAACTTGAGGGACTGAATTTGGTCCAGGTAAGCCTTCAGGTGCCTGAGGCCACAGGTGGGCCTGAGGTCGATTGGAGGGCGGCAGAGGAGAAGCTGCGGAGAAATAAGGGGGCAAGTCAGCAGCCCCGTATGAAGAGCACCTGGGGGGAGTTACCCAGCTACAAGACACTGCGCAGACTCTGCCCCTATTTTGTGAACCGCCTGGCACTCATTTGGATGAGGGCAGCGGGAGATGCCCAAAAGGCTGTATGCTTGCTGGCCGGGGAGTGAAGGGAATCAAGCCAAAGGACCTTTTGGGATAGGGCAGGGTGGCCCTGGGGAAAAGGAGGGGTGGTACAAGTGAGGCCCAGCAAGGGCAGTATGAGAGAGACCATGTGAGAGACAGTGGAGTGTGAAGCCTCAGTGAGAGAGAGGTGGTATGAGTGTGGCCTGTAACAGGGCAGTTGTGAGAGGCCTAATACTGTAATGAGTTGGGCATGGCCTCAGGCCAGAGCTTTACACAGCTGTTAGAAACATCTGCAAGGCATGGGACACGTAAGGGGAGGTAGGAGCCCTAGACACCAGGGCCTAGAAAGGGCAGCCACCTGCCTAATTAAGATCTTAATTACTTAACAGCAAGGCATGGCAGACAAGATAGGTGGGCAGCATGCCCAGAGGTGGTGGGAGACCAGCACTGTGGCTGGTTGGGGAGCTCCCACATTGCCACAATGACACAGCCACATTTAGGGAGGTAGGAGGGCCCCCATCACATTGATAATAGTGATTCCTGTTGCCAACTGAGCTGAGAGCCATCTCTATTTTTCCATTGGTAGAAAGTACCATTCTAGGTTGGATTTTGAGAAGTGTCTGTTTACCATTTCAAGGCACGGGCCCTCTGGCCTCATGTGGCAATGAGAGATTAATTTGTTGTCTTTTGATTACAAGCATCCTCTGTGATTTCTCAGTCACATTGGGTAACTGGGATTTGGACTCTTATTAGTTTCACACTCAAACATGCTAGTCATCCGATTAATGAAATCCAATCTAAAAAGCTCATGTTGGAGATACAAAGCCCTCTTACCTTCCCAGCTTGATTGCCATCGGTCCTGCAACAAGAGCTCCAGTGAGCCCCCCCAAAGGGTACACAGAGACAATAAAAGACCACAAAAGCAGTATCATGTTGTTCTCGAGGGGTGCACCTGTGCGTTCCAACCATGTTTCATTCATAAACGTCTGAATGTGCTGTAAGTAATGGACAAGGTTGGTTTACTGTGGGGTTAAAGATGAAGAATGCAAAAAAGACCAAGGGTTTTCCTCTTCTTAGATAGGGCTTATGCTATGAACAGGACCCTAAAGAGAAGGCTGAAAAAAGCATTTAGTTTTAAGATATCATTTTGATACGCCAAAAGAATTCTAGTTGTTGAGAAGCTGTATTAGAGAGATTATGTTTATGCACTGAAATCTTGTGTGTTTAAAAAATATTTAGAGTTTATAGGTCCTAACCTCTAATTATAAATTTGATCCTAAAATCGAAGGCAAAGCTTGATTTTTGAAGTGTACAGCACTTGGGTGCTGACTGCTCCCCATAGCCAATTTTAACAAGATACTGAGTATATAAATCATTTTAAAGTCATCTTTTCTCTGCCAAGTCCCTCAACATCACACCAGCTTATTCCAGCTCCATGAGGACACCTAGAACAGCTACTAGAGAGCCCCAGAGAACCTGGCCAATGGGAAAACAGGTCATCACCAATTACAGCAATTAATCAGGTTTTTCAAAGTCTTTTGAAAAATAATTAAGAAATATGTGGCAAGCTTGTTTTTAAAAAAAGTCTTTTAAGTGTGGAAATATTCATGATTATATTTGTTAAAGGTATAACTGGCAGAAAAAGGTTTTGAATGGCAAATCTTGTGTCCTCATGCCCTTTAGCAATAGAATGATGCCACACCTCAATTACCAATTATAAAAACACACACATCCACTCCTCACTATTCAGCCTCAGTATTAACTGACTGAAGGCTTTTCACAGCATATCCTGGTTTATGCTCAGACTGGAGGTCACTGAACCTCTTTTAGGGATTACAGGTTTGGGGCTTCATAAGATTCACTATCTCGGGAGAAGGTTAGAGGCCAGCAGAAAACTTACTGTAGTCGGAGCATTGATGATGGTGATGTTATAGCCATACTGGAAAGTCCCTCCGATCCCAGCAGCACATACTGTTAGAATTAGCACCCTGCTTTGAACCTGCAAAAACCCCCAAACATAAATGTATTAAAAGGGGGGAAAATGTAGATTATTTTCTCACTTTCATTAAAATGATTTAGTAGGAACTTGACCCAAAGCCACACTGTGTTTGGTAGGACTTGAATGGTAAGATGAAAAGGCCACAATGCTGGCTCTAAAATGGTAAGTTCCAAAAGATTAGATAAATGACACTAACAGATGTCAGGGATGTATTTGGTGCTGTGTTGGTCTGAGACAAAAAGAAATGCAAAACTCTAGAACTCTTGGTTCCAAAATGATACCTTTTTATGTTTTTGCAATTTCTTAGTTGATCTAATAAAAGGTATCATCTCTGAACTATCACATTTTAAACTTTAAGGCACCCTCTGCTGCCTAAAATATTACTGTACACAGTAGTTTAAAAATAAAAAATTGCAGGTAACAGAGTTCATTCAGGGCTGGTTTTGGGTAATAGTCCTGGAAATGTCAGTGCTTTGGTACTTTATATGTATTTTTCTAAAAACTCATTGCAATTTTCTATAAATATCACTGCACAGACTTGACAGCTATCACCAAACCAAGTCAGTCTTTTTTAGACACATGATAAATGCATTGTACAAGTGTTACCCAAATTTAAAGCTAACGATATTTGCCCAACGTAAAACATCTACCTTGAACAGGGCTTCTTTATAGCCCTGAGGTTTGAACTCAAGGCCACTGAAATGTCACTGGATGCTATTTCTGCCATCTCTTCTTTTTTACATGTAATTACGTGTATTTTTTTCTCCTCTTTAATTTGAGGGAGTGTCTTTCCCATACTCCTTCAGAGGTTAGACATTGAATCAGACAGCTTCTCTGCTTCACTCTCTCCTTATGCAGCTGTAGGTTTTCACTATATTTTGTGTTGTCCTGTTTGATCAGTGATTTGTTTGGTGAGGGTTTGCCTTCATTTTACCTTTTGAATGTGGTGAGGCATGAGTTCATTTTGATCTTTTTAAAATTGGTCCCCCCCCCCCCACCATTACTGCTATATTATCTTTTTCAACTTCAGTCCCGTGTCTTGATTAGAATTTATTGTTGAAAAGGACCACTTCATACGCTTTGGAGGTTGGTATCATGGGATGTCTGTGTGTTCTGCTACGTAGGAGCAGTGTCTGATTTAGTTTTTGGTGGAGGAGGCAGGTGCTTTTCTAGCTGAGATGGCACAAGAAGCAGAAAGCTCATTTTTGTATGTTCATAAGCAAAGGGATTTGTCTTTTCTCCCCCTATCCAAAGTTGATCTGAGTTGATATGGCACGCTCTCACTACCAGCCCTTGAAACAACATTTGATACCAAAAACACGTGGCCTCGGCACCATGATTTTTCCATGACCTCAGAGAAACAGAGGTGTGGAAGGAGCCTCCAACCCACCCCGTAGCACAGAGGCAGGGTCGAGTAAACCTAGAGCATCCCTGACAAATGCTTGTCCGACCTGCATTTAAAAACCGCCGCGAAGATTCGCGATGGCCTGTTCCAGCAGTTCACTACCCCCACGTTACCTTCCTACTATCCGGCCTGAATTTCTCTGCAGAGCGAGCCTGCTTCTTTTCTCCTCCCCTCCGCGCACAGGGTGAGCAGCCGGTTCCTGCCTTCTTTACAACACTCTCTCATGCCTGGCACGATGGTGACCCTGGCCGACCTCGCGGGCCGGTTTCCCAAGCCGGCCCTCACTCGCGTCGCTCTCGGGTCCCTCTGCTACACGGGGCCGAGCTCTCCCAGGTGATGGCTACCTCCGTGCTTCTCCTGCCCCTCGGCATCCTCCTCGCACCCCCAAAAGGCCCTGCTCCACTGAGGCCTCCCCTGGGCTGAATAAGAACAGCCACCTGCCTCTCGCTTGTGCCATCCCGCCTCAGGCAGCGACTCCCCAGCGTGAGCCTTGCCCTGTTGTGGGCTCATGTGTCCGGGGGTGGGGGGGACCCCGGATCCAAGCTGTCCTGCCCGCCGCCTCCCCAGGCCCTTCTCCC